GATTTTTTGAGTGTTTGTGGTTGTATGTATTATTTGAACAATGCAATTGAGTTGATTGCTTGATTGTTTGTGGTTGTATGTTTTAGTTAAATGATTATGTTATTATGGTGTAAACATATTTTCAATAACGTTTGATTATAGTTTCTTATTGTGCAATGTAGACAAATGACTTCTGATTTCGATACAGAATCTGATGATCGTTTGAGAAACTTCATGTTGCATTTGTGGTTGTTGGAGAAAGAGAGATCCAATGTGTCTAAACTGCCATGTAGAACCTCAGACAAAGCTAGACATGAATGGGTTATGTAGCTTCTTCATGGTCATCCAACTAGGATATATGAGCAACTTTGGATGGACAAAGATACATTTCTTGCTCTTTGTGAGGTGTTGAAACAAGATGGCGGGTTGAAGTCCACAACGAGAGTCATAGTTGAAGAGCAAGTTGCCATCTTCCTTAAGATTATAGGTCACGCCAATGACTTTCGAGACATTGCGAAAGGTTTCGACATTCTACCACCACCATCTCAAAGTACTTTAACAACGTATTGAAAGTTGTGGTCAAGCTTGCAAATAAGATTATTATTCCACCAAATTTGGATAACGCCCCTGAAAAAATTACGGGTGGGCAAAATCGGCTACCCAATCCCATTTGGAAAGGAAACTACATCACATGTCCCAAACTCGTACAAATTAATGGGTACCCATTACGCGTACGGGACGAATAACAAGAACCTGCAGGTAACCCATAAAATTTTAGTTTTAAAGATTCATGGGAAGATAAGAAAAATACCATAACAAGCATTATATAAATGACCATTGTGAAGGCACTTATTCCCGTAATTAAATGCATATGTATATATGATGACAATGAAGTGGTGAACTCGTTTTTGGTTTGATTGAATTTCTGTGCATGTGTGTTGTTTTGGTGAAAATAGGTACTGGACAAGATTAAGGGTATAAGGGGGATCAAAGCTATGGATGAGGTGTCAGCTGGGCTTTCTGCTGCTAATGCTTCAGCGAGCGCTGTTGCTGCGAAATAAAAGAAGACGAAGATAAGATTTCTCCAATGGATCATCAAATTCGTTTGTGTGTTTTTACTTTCAATAGTGATTGACTTATGCGCTAGTGTTGAAGTAACTCGTGCATTCTGATAGTATCGATTAGTCTGTTCTGAACTAATTTAACTTTTTGCGTTGGTTGAATGGACGGGTAGTACGGGTACCCATAATGTCCAAATGGGTATTAACGGATAACCCATGGGTAAACATTGTAAGACTTCTTCATCCCAAATCCCAACACGTAAAAAACATTACCGGTATTTGAGTACCCGTAACCCTAATAAAACGGGACAGGTATGGGTATACTCAAATACCCGTTTCCGGTTGGCCACCCATAGAAAAAATTGTTGGTTCTAGACATGATTCATATTTCAAGGTAGAAGAATACTTACTCCACAGTTGCCAGTATAGTATTTACAACTTGTTTTGATCATGGTCACTTTTGTATTTATATAGAATTGCATTGGAGCTATAGATGGAGTGCATATTGATGCAGTTCTTCCTACTGCTGAACAAATTCCATATCAAGGAAGAAAGACGACAACAACTCAAAATGTGGTGTGTGCATGTAAGTATTATGTTGTTGACTCCGAATTTGCGAACATGCCTGGGTTCCTAGCACTATATTGAACAAAAGGAGCCTACTCATTTTCAAGAAATCAATCGAGGTGATGGACCCAAAACTCGTAAGCATTTATTCGACTATTATCACTCATTCCTGTGCAATGTTAGGGAACGTTGCTTCGGAGTTTTGAAGGCCAGGTTCCCAATCCTGAAACATATGCCTTCCTTTTCACTAAAGAAATAAGTACGAATCGTTTATTGCAACATGGGTTCTGCATAACTTCATTAGTATTCACTCTTGTGAAGATGTCCTACTTGAAGAAGAGTAGAATTATTATATGGAGGATGACGTTAATGGAGTGAAAGGATTACTAAAAAGAGAAGAGTACAATATGAGCTAAAGCCGAACACGGCAAATGGATATTCGACGTGATGGAATAGCGGACAATTTGTGGGATGAATTTAAAGATGGACTTCTTTCACATTTGTGATTGTACTTCTACTTATTTGATATTGAAGTATGTACTAGTATAAGGAAATAAAACAGATTCTCATTTTCAGGCCTAGTAACCAACTAAACAGGTTTTCATCATTTTCAGATTATAGGTTCTATATTCACCAAAAATCACAGCTAAACAGGTTTTTGTATAAAGTTTACAGGAATCGTTTTCCAGAAAATGACAGCTTCCTTTTCTCCATATTTTGTTTTCTATTGCCAAAATCACAAAAAACATAGTAGGAAGTGAACAGGGCTTCAATAAAATCCAAGCCCCCTTCTTTCTCCTCGTTGCTGCCTTTTTATATGCCCCCGAGTGCAGAGTTCACTGTCAAACTTCACGGTCGTGATATAAAGAAGAAAACCAAGATCTCAGCTAAACATGTACCTTTTTTGCCTACTTCATGGTTTTGTTGTTATTATCACGGTATGAGACCATGATCCTTGCAACGTGCACAAGGCGTGTAATGGCTGTTGAAAATTGCACACTTCACGGTTTTGTTGTGATTTTCATTCTCTTAGTGGCGTGATCCTAACTGCTAGCTCATGAACCTTGCACAGACTCCACTTTTTGGCTCGTTTTGACCTCCAAATGTCCCGATACTCGTTCCTGACCTTCCTACACATGCTAGAACCTGAAATGTGTCAAAAGAAGCACAACCTAGCGTAAAATAGGTCGAGTAATGGTTACCAAGTCAAACACTAAAGATATGAAGGGCTAAAACATGTATAAATAAGCTCGAACAAACTACATTTCGAGTTTTGGCTTCTGATTTTTGGAGAGGGAGTAAGAAGGACGTTTGGCACTCTATTTGACTTTTTGCGACATAAATTAGCTATTTGATTTCACAAAAATTATTATCTTGACACACGAGTAGAATATGCTATTAATCTAGTTTTGTTGTTAAATAACTTTTTAGAATTAGGCTTTTCTCTGAAGTACAATTTGGTTCTAATTAATTCAATTAATTAAACTTCAATATCAAGATATGTTAGGCAGAAATAAACCAAACCGGTGGACCAAAGACATAATTTATTGAAAGAGAATTCTTTGTTGAAGGGAGCAGCCAGTCATTCACTTCTAGCCCGGGAATATGAAAAAAGTAACAATTAAACTTATTCCTAACATCTAAAACATAAAAAATTGGACTAAATTCATCTAAAACATCTCCCAATTCGTGTTCCTTTCCATTTACATTTATTGGAACCAAGTCCCAAAGGCCAAATCCAGCAAACACTTACCAAAGGAAAGTCGAGTTTGAATGGCAAATAGAGAGAGGAAGCGTCGATCGACAAGAAGAAGGCTGGAAGGCCGAGCTGCTAGCAGGGGCGATCGAGCTCGAGGCGGAGGCAGGGACAAGGACGACCGAGCTTGAGGGAGCTCGAGGCAGAGGCAGGGAGGCCCGACTGTGAAGGCTGGAGCGATCGACCTGGAGCCGGTGACCTGGAAGTTCGATTCTCCCCGACGACCTTGATCTCGCCGCCAATGAAGGGAGAACGAGCACAGCTGTGCAGCAGGGAGCTAGAGATGGAGCAGGGCGTGAGTCGTGATTGTGGGAATGGAAGGAGGAGCAAGTCGCCCATGATAGGGTTTTTTGTGCTCTGCTTCTCGCTGTCTCATTTCACCCCATCCCCAGCAAACGACCATCGGCGGATCTAGGGCTGGGACAACCCGGGCCACGGCCCCAGCCCTCCATCGGATCCAGAGCTAGTATAAAGTTTATAATTTTTTTGATTTTAGGTATTCAGCACATAATTATTTAATGGTCGGTCGAGTGCTATTTGATAATAATTTTTTTGTAGTTAGAAAAATGGTCTAGATGAACATATGCAAACCATTACTCTCAATTTAGTCTAGGAATTCTAGCCCGAATGATTTTCATTTGAAAAAAACAATAAAACCTAAAAGTCTAAAATGTAAAAGAGTGTATAAAGTTTCATTGAAATAAGAAAACCCTCTAAACAAATTGATTTGTTGGTTGATTCGTCTAGTGTTGACCTTGTCCGTTTCAGCGGTTACCATGGAGAGAACATTTTAAGCAATGAAATATGTTAAAACTAATTTGTGCAAAAAAATACTCGATGAATTTCTCGTTGATTGCTTAGCTATTTTCTTTGAGAGAGAGTATGCTATTGATATCAATGGAGATTCTATTATTATTGATGGATTTTCCAAATTAAAAAACCTTCTATTACACTTCGCATTGTAATGAATGAAAACTATTGTGATCATATATTTTTGGGTAAATACAATTTATTAGTCAAACCTTTTAGACTTTCCAAATTATTAGCCAAACCTTTCGAAATACAAAATATTAGTTAAATTGTAACGCATCAAAATATTAGTCATATGTCTGTTACCGTTGGTAATTTTGTAACTATTTTTTATTTGAAATACTAAAAATTAAAATGTTGAATATTTTTGTTTACAATATATAATATTATATTGAAATGCGGCTCAGTGCTCTACTATGTTCTGGAGCCGCCGCGGCAAATGACGCCGCACAATTGAAACGGCTCGCAACCCGCTTGACACGGTAGGACAGGTTAACTACCCGGGTTTCACCGGGTTTGATCGGGTCCGGGCTGATTGTGAATTGGGTTGATATAGCCCGTTTTTTAAGGCAGGTCCAGGCCAATCCGGATCGACCCTCGGGTTGGCTACCTTGCTTTTTATAGAGTTGGTGCATTCAGTATCAGCCTAGCAGGCACGCAGCACACCTCCTCCCTAGTCCCTTCGAATAATCAAACAAATCTTCTCCCCCTCCCGAAAATTCAAATAAACACCGACCATGAACCAAACAAGAAAGTTAATGATAATATTCAACCAAATTGTCTTTTTATTTATTCCCTACAAGTACAACAACGACCATGGCCCGTCCCGTTACGCTACCTTTGCGTGCTGATTTGATTTCTCTCCCCTTTCCAGCCCAAAATAAAATAACAAAAATTTGCTCATTTTCTGCGATCCAAAAAAGAAAAACTCTCCCGTCTTCCCTTTCCTCCGTTCAGTTGGTCTTCTTCTCTGGGGTTAGGGTTTCTATTTGTTGATTGCTAACGCGAGAGCAGAAGATGGGGCAGCAATCGCTGATCTACAGCTTCGTCGCGCGCGGGACGGTGGTCCTGGCGGAGTTCACCGAGTTCACCGGCAACTTCACCGGCATAGCCGCTCAGTGCCTCCAGAAACTTCCCGCTTCCAACAACAAGTTCACTTACAACTGCGACGGCCACACCTTCAACTATCTCGTCGACACCGGCTTCAGTAAAGCTCCTTCCTCTCTCGCCTCTTTGCTTTCTTCCTTCTGCTTGTTCTTGTTCTTGTTCGTCCTGCCGTGATCTCTGTGTCTGCGACGTTGAATGGTTTTGATTGGCTATTTCCTCCCGTTTATCGATCTTGTTCCGTTTGAGGTTATTACTCTAGATTACCAATTATTCAGATCAGAAGTATAGCTTTTTTGTTTGCATGTCTCTTTTTTGCTTTGTTCGAGTTAATTCTTTGAATCAGAAGGTTGACTAGTTCGGCTGCGCGTCTGTACGTGCGAGAGGTGTATCGGGGGACTGAGTAGGGAATTAACAAGGATGAATTCTTTACCTTCTGAAGCGATACGAATCGATCTGTGGCCGACTTCTCTGGATCCTTAAGAAAGAGACTTGAGGTTATATAAGGCAACTAAAGGACTTGTTGCGAGTGTTCTGTTTGCGTTTGCTGATTATTACTTGTTGGATTCCCTTGATGGCTTCCGAGTGTCACTGAATATGAATTTCCTTGTAGATTTGAGTGGGTAATTTCCCCCCTTTTTAAGTTGACATTTCCTGGTCTGGTGTATTTGGGTGCAAGGATGAGTTTCAGAGGCCATAAATGGTATTATGTGTCTCATGTTCATGTTCAGATTCTTATTCTATCATTCCTAGTTGCAATCTATTTGTCAAACCATGAGCTCTGAAACATTATTACAATTTACAAGGACCCTGAGATATTGGTGATGATCTATATTTGTATCTCAAATAAATGTTTGAGGTGTTTATGCAAAATGTGAACTGTGTCTCCATTCTCCTACTTAGCCAGTACATAAACCTGATTTTAGAGTTCTGATGAGAGGTTGTTGTTACTTACCGGGAGTGTGTAATCAATCCTCATTTCATTAACTAGACTTCCACTCATCCCTGTTTGGTAAAACCATATCATCCACTGTGTTGAGCTTGGTGTATTTTCTCCTGTTTGGATTAACTATCTACATGTGAATTTTCAGCTTATTGTGTGGTCGCTGTGGAGTCTGTTGGACGACAGCTTCCAATTGCTTTCCTTGAGCGGATCAAAGAGGACTTCAGTAAGAGATATGGCGGAGGAAAGGCCGCAACAGCAGTTGCCCAGAGCCTGAACAAAGAATATGGGTGAATTATTTTAATGCTTAGGAATGTGGATGTTACTCTTACCTTTTCTGGCAAGCCATGTTGTTGACCTCTTGGTTCTTGTGCAGGCCCAAGTTGAAGGAGCAGATGCAATACTGTGTGGATCACCCTGAAGAGGTCAGCAAACTTGCTAAGGTGAAAGCTCAGGTTTCTGAAGTTAAAGGAGTTATGATGGACAATATAGAAAAGGTATATATCACTTAATTTTATTTGGAATGGCAACAGTGACTATTTCTTATTTTCTTTTGTTTCCTCATCTTAAATTGGTAAATCTTTTATTTCCATAACTGTGGTTTTTACTGGCCTCTTAAGTCGTGCACTGATTAAGGCCAATGATGGATTGAGCACCGTATTAGTTTGTTTACTTGTTATCTTTGCTGCTACAGGTACTTGACCGTGGGGAGAAAATTGAGCTTCTCGTTGACAAAACCGAAAACCTTAGATCTCAGGTATGTTTGGATTACTCTGCTTTTCTCCCCAAACATGAGTTGGTCAGGTTTAGATTTGAAAGTAGTGGGACAGTGCTAAGACCTTGTGAACCAATTTAAATTTGCCCTTAAGCTTGATAGACATGTTCAGACCCGCATCATGAAACTTGGTGTTAGTTTGAATACTCTAATTTTTTTTCTCTCTTGATTTAAAAGATAAGTTGGTATTACTTAAAGCTATGCCTGTGCAGAATTTGTTCTCTGTTCTACATACAGAATGCCTTTACATTGCCTATCGAAAGCCTTCACTCTGTTCTTTGTTTGCTAAATCCCACTATGCCAGTCTCTTAAGGTGTTAAGTATGTGCTTCGCTGTAGGCACAAGATTTCAGGCAGCAAGGGACGACGATGAGGAGGAAGATGTGGTTACAGAACATGAAGATTAAGCTGATAGTGCTGGGGATCATAATCGCATTGATTCTCATCATAGTATTATCTGTTTGCGGGGGTTTCAAATGTCATTAGTATCATTTTCTGCTACCATGTTCTTTGCGAGAGCTACCATATCCGGGGACTTACGCTTGTATAGTTTTTTTTGTTTTGTTTTTCTTTCCCCCCTTTTGTTTTTGAATTTTCAGAATTCAATGGATACTAGTAATGTTTCTTTGAATGCGTGGGTGCTTGCTTTGATCACTTCACTTGTGTTGTTTGCTCCATTTTGATTGATGGATGCCATGCCATGCCATGATGGGAGTCGTCTTACCCCACTCATTGGATCACTTTTCTATGTGATTTATTTCCCGAACTACATGACAAACTAAAAAAATTTCCAGAATACTATAGAAATATTTTTTAAAGCACCTAAATTTGGACAGAATTGTGGGGCAGCAATATTTGAAGAAATCCAGGTGCTACTTTAGTGCTTTCACATTGTCTGTATTTGCTTTGTTGGTCGTTCGGAGAATAGGTCGATCGATATTGTGGTTAGAAAATTTCTTTCATTGTTTTCTAGTTTGGTAGGATTCTATTTCTGTTAAAAAGAAGACAATTTTAAACATTGTCTGTATTTCCCATTGTCTCATTTTTCTTGATAATACACATTATTTTTTGTTAAAAAGAAGACAATTTTGAGGATATGTGACGATTTTATCGAGATTGCTATTATGTCAAGCGGATTAGCAAAAATTGCAATGAACTTTAGTGATTTTTTATTTTTTTCTCATAATTTACGTCAAAATATTACAAAATAAGAAATATAATTGCTACGATTGGATAATTAAACGCAAAAGTAAAACCATTTGAAGTTCCAACTTGGATGGAAATCACTAGTCTATCCATTTTGTTGCAAAATGATTTTACTATATCGTTTAGGGTGGCAACAATCTTTGTAAGAGCATTGTCTGACTTCAGTAATTTTGCAACAAAATCACTAGAGTGTGCAACAACTTCGCCAAACTTAAGTATTTTGGAACAATATAGTAATAGTGTGTCGCATTTGAAGAAGTTTTGTAGCGAGGAAAAATGTCTTGGTTTGTGAGTGTCAAAAAAAAAAAAAAAATTGCTCCGGATCTTCCCGGACGTTGTCCGTCGATTGTCTGGGTTGTTCTTTGAAACTAGCACTCGTAAAACTGGAAATGCATCAGAAGGTGACATGAACATGAATCCCAGATGGAGTTGGGACTATTTGTCAGGGAAATGCAAATAGAAATCTATAGTCCCAAAACGAGCGAATACAGGATGAAGGACACGCATTTGTCTCTCTTCTTTAGACGCTGATTTCTATGTTGTCTATCAATCTAACATTGCCGAACCATGCTGCGATGCAGATTACAACTGGGCTATTTACTTCCCCCACTGTCTCCAAACTCTGTTGATCCACTATCTGGAAACACCAACACACACATTACAATAATGGGACTCAGGAATATGAAAGGGTGTGTTCAAATGCAGGCGAGGACTCACCTCCACATAATCAACCTTCCCTCCAGCCCCAGTTATTGCTTGCACAAGAGAATCCCGCAACTCCCCGCAATTCGTCTGGCCTGTCTCTGCCAATGACTTAGCTTGGAAGAGAGACTTGCTTATCGACAGAGCCTGTGATACACGGAGCTAGGGTCAATTACAAGACCGGAAGGCTGAAAGGTGCTAAGAGTGGAGGAGGGGAGAACCTTTTCTCTGTCTTCTGGGGAGAGTCGCACATTGCGCGAACTCATTGCCAGGCCGTCTTCTTCACGCAGTATGTCAGAACCAACTATCCTTATCCCAAAATCAAGATCTCTAACCTGTAGGGAGCCAGATCAATCAACAGCAGTATGTAACACCGATATAGCAGAAAACCATCATTCTAGAGTATGGGCCAAACCTAAGTACAAGGAAAAGAGAGCTCTAGCACAAGGAAAAGGCTTAATCCTATTAACGTTACTTCCAACGACTAAACACTTTCCACATCCCAGTGCCTGATCAAACCAAGTAAACTGCAAATGCAATTCTTGAGATCAAATATGAGGCACTGATGCTAATTGGGAAGCAAATTTCGCAGGACAACAACACCCAGCTCCGAATCCGCAAGTGATTCTTCTTGTGTTGTACCAGCAAAGCACATATCTGCTACATTTCGATCTACACAAAAGAAATGGCATGAGAAGCTTACAGATTGCGCTCACCATTCGCTGAATTATTCTCCACTGCTGGTAGTCCTTCTTCCCAAACACAGCCACATCAGGGTCCACAATATTGAACAGCTTGGTCACCACCGTCGCAACTCCCCTGAAGAACACCGGCCGGCTCTTCCCGCACAACCCTCTCTCCAATCTCTCCACTTTCACCCACGTTTCGTGCCCGGCGCCCATTTCTTCCACACAGGACGAAACCCCTGACGCCGGCAACCCTGTTTCCCCTTCCTCTCGTAAACCCTCGAATTCGATATCCCCTTTCCCTTTCCGGCCAATGATCCCGTAGTCGTAGAGATTGTGCGGGTGGAAAACAGCGTCGACCCGGCGGCACCCGGAAACCGACCCGAGCTTCCAGATATCGCCGTCGAAGTCGGATGGGTAAGTGGAGAGGTCCTCGGAGGGAGAGAATTGACCTGGGTTCACGTAGATTGAAACGACGACGACATCGGCTAGGGATCGAGCTTTTTCGACGAGGGATAAATGGCCCTGATGGAGATAACCCATTGTGGGTACCAAGGCTATGGTGTTGCCGCGGCACCTCATGGCCCGTGACCATTTCCTCATCTCGTCTTTGTTCGTTATGATCGCCGGCAGCTCCTTTGGCACCGCACTTCCTCCTTCCATAGTCGATGAGAAATCCCTGAGCAGTAAAGGGAAACGGGGAAGATTTTAGTTTTCCAATATCGAGTCATCTTGGCAAGTTACATATTGTATTATACTAGCAAAAGTCTTCTCCCTATTGCTTCCCCTATTACAAAGATTTTAAAAAATAATAATTAAATGTTGATCCAAGAGTGAAAGTCATTTTATTTTATTACTAATCATTCTTTTTGGACTAAATTATACGTTTGGTCACTTAAATTATACAAATTTTTCACGTTTGCCATTTAAATCATTATTCTTTCTTATTGGGCACTAATTTTACGAATCATTTCACCGTTAGTCACCGGCCGTTACACTCCATTAAATTTTTCCTACATGGCAGTCAACTATAAAGTTTGACCGTTAAGTAAATGACGTGAAAATTAAAAAAAATTAAAAATTAAAAATAATTTTCCACCTCATCATTTCACTTACTTTATTATATGATTTATAATATTAATTATTTAATAAAATCAATAATTTGCAATTTGCAAAATTTTAATTCTCCTCCCTCATCTTGTCTCCAAGTCCAAGGTGGTCTCCTCCACCGCCGAGCCGACCATGATCCACTTCCGCTGCTCGCCTACTCCTACAAGGCTACAACAAGTTCCTCCATCTCACAGCAAGTACGACGTGTCCTGCATCTCCACCATAGCCAATGTCGCCAACGAGGACAAGAAAAAGACTACCTCCACGCTGTTCCAGCCCGTCTTCCCGATCGGCGAGCTTAACACCGCCGGGTTCCTGCACGTGCAGACCCAGTGCCACCTGCGGACTTTTTACAACAAGGATTACAACGACTCGATTAACTACATTGCTTGTGTCTACACAAAAGACGGTGATGGGTTCCACCGATATGAGTTCGCGCCAGTGAGTTAGTTATATATTGTGTCCTTTAAATGGGAATTGGATTTGCGTATGGGTCCACTTTCAGACATGGTAAAGGAAACCGGATCGTACCGGCCGGTTGAACCGGTAAAACCGGAAATCGGGGCCTGGCCGATACGATAGTCGTTTGCTGGTTAAAAAATCGTGTCGGCCGGTTTTCCCGGTTAAACCGGCACAATACGAAATACCGTCCGGTTTTGGTCTAACCGGGGTAAGCTTATGGGAAGGAAACTGCGTCGTTTTGGTATTAAAAAAAGAAAGAGAGATCGGCCGAAGGTCTTCGTTTCTTCGTGTCCAGCTGCTGGCGACCAGGATCGCGGCGTCTCTCCTCCTCTTCTCGACCGGCGACCGGAGACAAGGACCGCTGCTCCGCGATTGCTCTGCGTTGCTCCGCCCTGCTCCGCCCTGCTCCGCGCTCCACCACTGCTCCGCCGGCACGCCTCTCCCTCCTTATGTCACCCAATTCGCCGCTACAACCTCCACGTTCCCGCTCCAGAGCGCAAAAGCGCGATTTTTTAGGAGTTTGCAGAAAATTCGCGAACTGCTTATCGGGAGAGCGCGATTTGGGATTATTGGAGCGCGATTTCTCTTCGAACCCACAATAATTTAGGATTTCATCACCAGCTCAGCCCTCATCACCCCCGCCGACGCCACTCCGACCTCGCTTGTCGTCGTTCCATAGGCAGCTCTCATGCATGCAACAAAGAATTACACAACGCAACTGCGAATCAAAGGTTAATCCGCCTAGATCAACCGTAATTAAATTGAAATCGAGAATCAAAAGGTTCAGAAAAATTATAGCATAAGACGAGGGGGAATATGGCTACGGGGAAGCCAGAGAAAGGAGCGTCTCATCGCCGCTAAACGTTGCCGTCATTTCAGATGTTTCTCGCTTGGCCGGATCTGAGAAAGTAGCTGCCGCGGGAGCCTTGCGCCGATCGAATGATTGATGTAATGCCTCTTCTCTCCTTCTCGATCGATGGTCTCAAACTAAAGAGAACAAGAAAAGAACGAGACGAGAGAAAGGATCATGCGACTAGAAGGGTGTAGCCAGCCAACCAGCGATTGGGAGTAGAAGAAGAACATTTCGGTGGCTGGTCATTGTTTGGATTTGGAGTTTGGACTTTGGAGAGAAAGGAGCATTCGGTGGGTGGATAAGAAATAAGTGGTGGACGTGTTTCCGGAAGAAATAGGAGATTCGTAGTTTTTTATTATTTGGAGTCTCATGTTTACTGTATTTGCGGAGAAAAATACAAAATGTCCAACTTAATTGCGCTATGCTGATTTAGTAAATTTAACAATTTCTTTAATAGATATAGATGTTATCCTGACAATATTTTATTGAATTTTGTCAACAACGTAAGGTGTAATGTAAACAAGAAAAATATTTACTATATTTTTAGTCTAATAATTAATATTTATTAAAAAATAATAAAATATTAACGCTCTTTTCGCGCTCTCAATAATGAATCCTTGAAAAATAAACGCTCTCACGCTCTCGCTCCCGCTCCACGAACTGGTTACCTAAGTTTTGACTAATTTTTAATTATAATGTTGAGTTTTTTTTTCCAATGTTCTGCCTTTTACATATGCCTATTTAGTTTATTCAAGTTTGTTATCCGGTATATTTCGGTTTTATTCCGGTATTACTCCGAAACGGTATCATGAATCTGCCGGTACGGTTTTTTAACAAAAAAATATTTTTCAATTACAAAAACGGTATTTTACCGGTATACAACGGTTAAATCACGGTCGTATCACAAAATACCCTACCGCTGACGAATCCGGTATGACCTCCGGTACGGTTTCCTTTACCATGCTTTCAGAGTAATCACGCCGCCACCGCGGCCTCTAGAGCCATGTATTATGTTATGAACAATGTAGAGATGGAAACTGCCAACAACGTAGAGTTTACCTTCAAAGTAAGCGGTTTCCGGTGGCTCCCCATCGTTACTATGGTTGAAGGTGTCCGCCAACTTGCCTCATGGCGGCGGCACGATGCAGCCCTGTCGCGAAGCGATGGCGGGAATTGTGGCGGTCGGTGGACGACGGGGTTCTGGATTTCGATAAGTCAGCGGAGCTACTGAGGAGCACCATTCCGCGTTTGCCCTTCTCTCCTTGCAGGGGGTTCGCAAATTGTGGAAGCGGCGGTGGCCGCTTGCTGGAGGGAGGAAATCATCGCCGGATCAGTAGTATAACGCCGATTCGCGGACGGGGTGAACCGAGCCTTGAGCTCCCACCGGTCGGAGACTCTGGACGCCCTGAGAGTAGGTTTATACTTGTAACGATGGACGAGGAAGCGTGGAATTGGGTGGAATTATGGTTCCGCAAGCAAGTGAAGGAGAATAATTAAATTTTGCAAATTGCGAGTTATTAATTTTATTAAATAATTAATATTATGAATCATAAAAATAAAGTAAATGGAATGATGAGGTGAAAAAATAAATTTAATTTTAAATTTTTTTAATTTCCACGTCATCTAGTTAACGGTCAAACCGCTCAGAGATCCATCCCCCAGACAAGTCCAAGGTGCTAATTGAATTAGGTGAGCCCGAAGGTTTATCTTTATAGTTGACTGCCACGTAGGACAAACTTAATGGAGTGTAACAGCCGGTGACTAACGGTGAAATGATTCGTAAAGTTAGTGGCCAATAAGAAAGAAAAGTGATTTGGGTGGCAAACATAAAAAATTTGTATAATTTGAGTGACCAAACGTGTAATTTAGCCCATTCTTTTCATAGGTTTGTTATTTACAATAGCATATGGTCGATGAACTTGCATAAGGTAGATGAGTCTTTGAATAGATTATTAATTTTTAAACTTCTTTCTGGTTTTTTTTTTTTTGGGTTTGAGGTAATCGTGGTTCTCCTTTATGAAATTTTTGGATTGATTGCAGGTTTGAGGACGTTCAACTAGCATTGATCGGGTCAAATTAGGTTGATACTCATGAATTTGGGTTCAATTGTCTTTCTCAAACAAAAGGAAAAAGCGAAATGAAAAATACTAAAGCTAAAACTCGCTACCGACCAAAACTCGTCAACACCAGGTTCGACTCGCTTTGACCTGGTTGGACCGAGTTTTGGACAAATTCACACCTGACGGAACACGCCAATTACAAAAACAAATAAAACTCGCTCCCGCCGAAAACCTGTAAAATCGAGTTCAAATCACTTTGTCGGGTCCAATTAGGTTGTATGCCCATGCGTTTGAACTCAATTGTCATTCTCAACCAAAAGGATAAAAAAAAACTAAAGCGAATAAAACTCGCTCATGACCCCAAACTCTCAACACTACGCTCAACACGCTTTGACCGGGTCGACCAAGTTTGAACAAATTCACAATTTACCCAACATGTCAATTACAAAAGAGGATAAAACTCGCTCTCGATACGAAACGCGCCAACCATGGGTTATAGTTCAATTGTCATTCTCAACGAAAAGGAAAATGAGAAATAAAAATAATTAAAGCGTACAAAACTCGCTTTCGATCTAAAACTGGTCAACAACGTGTTTAACTCGCATTGGACAATTTTTTAACTAATTAACACTTGGTCCAACCTACCAATTACAAAAGCGGATAAAGCTCGCTCACAATACAACACTCGTCAAAACCTTAGATTCAGGTTCAATTGTCTTCCCAACCAAAATAAGAAGAAAAAAGAAATTTATAAATGCTAAAGTCTGTTTCAAGTCGTTTTGACTCGATCAAATTAGGTTGGATACCCATGAATTTAGGTTCAATTGTGATCATGCTCAATAAAAAGGAAAAAAAAGAAAGAAATTAAAAACACTAACGAGGATGAAACTCGGTCTTGATACAAAACTCGTGGTAGCGGCCTTGGGAAACGATGGTGGGGAACAACTTAGGATTCCGCTGAAAGTATTTAGAGATGAGCTGCAAAATGGTGGGCAAATGCAATGATTTGTGCAAAAAACCATAGACGATTGAGAATTGCATTAGGTTGGTGCGTATGTTTAGTTCTCATGCGTGCGGAAATGAATGGATGTCTTTACTTGCTTACTCTTCTATTACAATTGCCATGCATCCAAATTTTTGAAATTGGAATAAGTGATTGGGTGATTAGGTAGCCATGTGAGATTTGTGTCGATCGTCTTTTTCTTGTGTGATAGATCCCTCTTACCATGGCGAGTAACATTCACCGTTTTCGTTAGTGAGTATGATGGATGCATAGGATTAGTCCACGCCCAAAAGTTGATTGTCCTTAAATATTTTATCCCTAGTCAACCCCTTTGAGCCGTGTGACTTTGGGGTCGTTCTCATGTTAGGAGCTTGTTGCTTTTTGAGCTTAATGTTGATTGATAGAACGACCCCCTTTCCGTTCTTCATGTCTAAACCATTGTGAGTCATCCTTGTGTCTCAGAGTTCTCGCTTTTGAGCTCCATTGAGGTTCTACACAGGAGAGTTTTGCACGATTCTTGCTAGGAATGAAGAGGTAGTGTTGTAGAAAGTTCTTAATGGACAGCATTGTTCATCAAATGTAAGAAGTGACATGTGTTTAGATCTTTAGTACCCCTCGAAAAAATTAAAGAAAAAAGAAAGCAAAGAAAATTAGAAAGAAAGATAAGAAGTGAAAAAGAGGAAATAAAAGGGGTAACTAAAGTAGAGAGTTGCCACAAAGCCTAAGTGTGTGCTCTAGAAAAGGGTTTCTTGGCACTCAAGCCATTGAAACACCTAATTGCTTGTTGACCTGCTTCACTTTATGCTTAAAATTTGGGCAGCAAGGTAGGCCGAGGAAGTATGCTTGAATTTAGTTCGTGATTGGTTGCGGTTTGGAGAAGGGAAGTGGGTTTTTAGCTGATGCTAGTGGCTGTTGATTGTAGGAAAGATTTTAATCGAAACCAAAGGACCTCGTGTTTAGAGGTTGCCGCTGTGGTGAAGAGAAGATAGAGTTGATTGTTGATGATTGTGCATATCTTTTGCATCAAAAGGTCCTGCCTCACTTGTCGGGAGTGTGTGATTCATTCGCGTTA